CCCGATCGGTAACATAGTGGAAAAAGTTCGAGTACGTGACATGACGTAGCTTGCGGAGTACTCCGCTGGAGGACTGAGCAAGGAGCGAGGTGTCGATAACAATCTCGTAACTTGCACTCCCTGAATATCGGTCACGGAATCGTCCGTTTCGATCCTCCGATCGGGCGCGCGGCGGGCATCTTTCTCCTGCGTCCATACGCACTATACCAAGAATCTAGGTTAGGGATGTCCCGAGTGCGGCGGTGGAGGCAGTTTCGGCCTGTTCACGTTGCCAAATATCCCACAAGCTGCGGGCCAATGTACCCTTCTCCGCGATATTGACTAAAAGCAATAGATTTGAGTGAGGCGGTTGTCAGCAAACTCCAGTCAAGCTAAGCAAGCGCAACGCGGAGGAGGTGGAAGCGGGAGGCAAAGGTTGAGAGAGAGAGACTTGGCGCTCACCTTGTTCCTAGAACAAGTCGACTTTGGCCTTCCCTTCCTCTGCTGGACGCGCTCGTTCTGTCTGTTGTTGTCAGCGCGTCCTTGAGCTCATCGAATACGTGGCTCATGTCTCGTCGAGGGGCAATCAAAGAACGACTATCATTCTGCGTCCTCGTTTTCTCGGATACACGCTCAGGTAGCTTGAAACCTGGGCGAGGAGCCTGGTTGGCCCAGCGCCGCAGTTGGAGCTCGGTGCACTGGGGCTGTGGCCCACCATCGACCCACAATTCCTGTACACTCCTCCCCACCGGCCAAACTTTATACACCCTATCACCCTCCAAAGTCGCGGCTTTTGCTCTGTGTGCTTCCCTCCTGCAGGCGGCTGCGGAGGTTTGGGGCTGAACGGATCCTGTCCTGTCATCTGCCCACCCTTCGACTGGATCCTAAATCCTAGAACGTGTTCTGCGTTCTGCAGCGCGGTATAAAGTGGACGACCACGTCGATGCGTGCCCATGATTCCCAAGGGTCCACCGAGGGATCGCCGCGTTGCGCAGGGATCTACATGGTCCGACCGCATGCGGTTATAATCTCAGGCTGCACGGTGGTTTGGGGATCGAGGATAACACGCTCGCCTGAGGGGAGGCGCTTGATGACCGCGCGGTAGTTCGATACCGCGAGTTGTCGAGTGTATGTGCACACGCTACGCGCATACATAGCGATCGACGAGGACGATCAGATAGTCCTGCACGAATTCAGCGGCTAACACCTTTCCCTGCCAATACATGATCAGTGGGCGCACCGCTCCCAAAAGCCAAGGCACCGTTCTCCAAACATCCGGCGTTCGACAACCCCGATGTGCGAAACAGGTTCACCGGGCAACGCTGCGGACGGTGACGCACGCGGTCCGTTTTTGCACCTGGTTTCTTCTTGCGCGCCTCTAGCGGGTGCACCATAAAAGGGGCTATATATCGCGTAATCCGAAGGGACAGTATATAAGGAAAGTGCGGACCCGGCCCTCCTTTCTCCCAAGACGGACGCGGAACCCTAAAGTACCATTCAATCATGTCAACTAGACTGGGATGCCGAGCGCAAGGCGTTCGGAAAGCCTCTGACTGGTCAGGCTATCATCCGCGCCAAGTACGTCTCTCTGTCCAAAGAGCTTCTGCTGACGAACTGACAAATACCGCGAACACAGGCTCGCCCAGATGATCTCCCGCGTTGAGGCTGTCCAATCCTGGCTCGAGGCCGCGAGGAGATGGATGCCGAAGGAGAAGCAGATGCCGATGTTGATGTTGATGAAGATGCAGAGGAAGATGCGGAGGGAGATGATGATGATGCAGAGGGCGATGGTGACGTTGAAGGTGACAGTGAAGAAGTGGAGCAGGCGGCCGGAATCGTCGGTGAGGCCGACGACGGCCACCACGATCTTGACCAGAGACTGAGGTGCCCGATCGATCACCCGTCATCCCATCTCGTAATCTTGCACTGCCACTCACTCGGCACAAAGATACGGCAACAACTTGATCACTTCTTTGTCCCACCGTCATGCCAAGTCGACGCGCATGCAGCCATCTGGGAAACGTGAAGGAAAAGAGAACAGACATGAGAGGATGCAAAGTGATGGCGTCCTTCTATAACCGCAAACGATTTCGGATGATTCCAATGATTGCTCAGCAAGCTGCCAAGTATTCGCCTGTACCAATTATCAATGCTGGCGATGGTATCGGAGAACATCCAACTCTGGTGGCGGAGAGGCCGTCATCAAGTTTGGCGACGTTCGAAGGCTCGTGAGAAGGTCCTGGTAAGTGATATCATTCATTTCATGTAGTGTCTCACTGATCTCTACTCAGGGATACTTTGACAAGCCTCGCCCGTCGGGCTACGCTGTCTACCGTGCCTGGTTTACTGCCAAGGCGAAGACAAGACAGCGAACATGGGCGACACTAAAGGTTGCGTATGCAGCTTCCGATATCTCATGGGTCGATCTATCAGTGGCGAGCAAGGCCCAGTGAAGAGTCAGAGGTCTAGCACTGTCCTCAAGATCCGTCGTGCCATTAAGTCCGTTTTTCACCGACGACAACCTGTGGACACGATAATTGTATACGACAGCACATTCCGAACTCTTGCTCTAACTGCAGTGGGGGTGGAGATGGGTCTGGGCGTATCTCCAAAGATCTAATACTAGACCTCAACTCTTAGCTCCAATTAGTAAACTAATTGAAAAGTTAACTGATAGGGGTCTAGCTAGACAAGGTGGAATGCTCTTCAGCGCTCATGCTATTGACGCGGGCCGAGTATCGACACAGAGACGTGAGCCTGTTCAATATGTACCTAGTGGGAGGGGACGGCCAGGAACCTTCAGGAGCGCTGCCAGAAGCTCGAGTAAGACAGAGTTCTGCGTGAAGCGCGTCGAGCAAAGGTATGATCTGAGGCGTTATATAGCTCCTCGGTAGCGCGCACGATGAGGGGCTTGGTGGGAGGTCCAGAGAGGGAGAGAAGGGAGAGAGCTTCGTCTGCGTTTGGGGACACTCGTTCACGAGATCGTGAGCCACTTGGGCTTCCGGCGCGACAAACATAGCTTCGCTCGTACCTGCCACGATGTATGGGCCATTCTTGTCGACACAGACCACAGACCACAGACCACAGACGGCAGACGGGAGAGAGTACAACAAGTATAAGCGCTCACGTCCAGTCGACCCGGAACATCAGACCACGCACTGGCATGCACTGAGGAGCCACTAACGTATGTTGCTGTTCACGTCCGTCTATTTCACTCGCTAACTTCACCTTCAGAGTACCACTCCCACCGGCGTGTCCTGGCATTGTGCTGCAGCCGCCAAGCACAGGGAGCGCTCAAGCACATATTGAAAATCGTACGATTTTTTGGCGATCTAGGTCGGCGTTTTCGGGAAAAGTGCGCGTGCCGCCGGTCTGGACTGAATTACAATGAGACACTCGGAGGGGAGACTAATGATAGTGGAGGACCAAACGGGTATCTTCCTGTTTTCCGTCCCGCGATTGTTTAGTTCCGAATGCTTAACGGTTGACGCGGTCACGAAGCGAAAGAGGCCTGCCCAATTCCGGTCAGAAGTTTGCGAACTTGCGAGAGCTGCTATCAGGACGGAAGTGGTGGAAGCGTGCATTGTAGAGGGAAAGAGGGTGCAAGGTGGGGAAGTGGGAGCTGAAAATGGCTCGAAAGCTCTTAAGGTAGCCAAATGCCTCGTCATCTAACTAGTGACGCGCATGAATGGATTAGACAGGGGGTGGCCAGAGGGCTTGCAGACGAACCCATGGCCAGGACCAGGAGCATACAGTTGGTCCTTGCAGAAGCGCGACAGCATCACCGCATCACAAGCCGTAGGAGGATCTCCCCTGCTCGCCCACCCCATCTTCTCATTGTTCTACGGACGTGCCTCGTGTTACAGTCCTTGTCACATCTCCGTCGACGGGCGGCCAGGATGCCGTTCCCGCGATTTACGATCACACACTGTCGCCGATCACATCGGCACGACCCAACGTGCACTCAGCAACTGTGGAAAGGGGCCGTGCTGAGCGCCGGCAAAACCCTAGCTCTTGTGCGTAGGTTACGTTACATCGATAGGCCACACTTTCATGGTTTGGTTGACGGTCGGTGCGGGTCGTGCAAAAGAGAGGAAGCCCGGAAATCCATGAACTCCTTGAAAGGCAAATGCGAGTTCATCAACCGCAAAGCCCATCCATCCACGCAAAGGTCATCGATGGCACAACTGTATCAAAGTGAGTACTCAACAACCGCTCTTGTTTATATCCGTGAATCGCCCTGTCTATGCCCTCAGTGGGATACGCGTGGATGCACATCGCTGATTCGCCGGGCTCTTTGGTGATTCATAATAACTTCTCGAATCGCATAGCCTTGTGCCGGCGATGCTTCATTCGAATATCTGCCCTATCAACTTTCGCTAGGCAATGCTAAAAAGGCTATTGCAGATTTCCTTAAGAACGTCCAGGGTTTCGAGAACAGGAAGGCGATCCTGAACATCGTCTCCTCGCTGTTCCTCGGCACGACACCCTCTGTCGCCCATCCTGACGCTTTGGAAATCGACGAGAGCTTGCTCAACGCTGATTGGCGTCATGGTCGTCTTGCTGGCTTCTCGCAGGAGAAGATGTCTCATCTTGACGAGGGCAACGTTAATGCTGAAGGATCCGGGGTCCCGGAAGGTTTTGATCTTCAGTTGCTTTTAGCGGGGTGTCTCTCTAGCTTACACCTAATACTACTGGTATACTCTACAGTCACTCTTTAGTCTGGTTCTTTCCTTCTAAGATGGATCTGAGCCTCGATTCGACCCCTTTGACCTTCAAATACCTCTCATTCACCTCATTTGGCTTGTTCCCCCCTCTCTCTCTCTCTCATTTGGACACCCTTCGAATTGCTGATCCCAGCTTCGAGTGAGGTCGATATCTACAATTGGGGAAGATTTAGGGTGCTTTTGGGATACTGGGAATGTAAGCTTCTGCGGAGTCTGCTGGTGCTGCATCTGCTGATGTCGTCGAAGCTGAGAAAGCTCACCTCCACCACATCTCGGAGTTCTCGAACACCCAAGTGGGTTGTACGAAACCCGGACCCTTGGAAGAATACCAGACGATGAACGTACCCAGCGCGCCGGTCAGGAGACTTCTACATGTTACGGAAGGAGGTTCTCTATAACATGGATGCTTGTTCCAGTGAGGTGGTCTATATCAGGCGATGGTTTGGGACTGGCAAATTTGAATCTATCTGGCCAGTATGAAATGAGTATAGGTGTCCTGAGACACCTAGAGCTGGGGCAGGCCCTTCCAGGGGCCACTTCGAACCATCTTCCTCCGTCCATACAGTACGGACAGATTGTAACGCCAATTTGCACATGAGATCGGACCAGCGACTGACAAACTTGGTGCCTATGGAGGGAGTCAGTACACAGCAAATCCTTCGGCTATGCACTGGATGGCAGTCAACCATGTGTTACGTGATTGCACGGTTGATCACGAAGTTGTCGATGTAATCAAATTAAAATCAAATTGTAGGCTCTAAACTACCAACATGACGCGACTTGTACACGAGGAATAAATTTACCCAACATATACCCATCCCACATAGACTCTGTGGCCAGTATCATGTTGACCACCTTCAGGCGAAGCTCCAAACATCACCGTACCCCACACAATGCCTGCCTGTTCAAGATTACGCAGATATGATGGCTCTTCAAGTTGACCCCTTCAGCTCCCAAACCGGACATGCTCGATATGCTCATCTATCCACCATTGATGCACACACCTATCAGCAGTGATCACAACCACAAATCCTCGCCTCCTGTTACTTGCAGCCTTCCCGCTATATGTGCATTGCTCCATCAATGCCAGTGACAGGCCATACTTCACTGCAGGCCACAACTCTCCAAAGAACGAGGAGCTCAATTACATTCTCATGAACAATCTCAAGTACTGAATATAGGTCGCAAATCAAGAGTATATTGCATTGCGGAACATACAGGAGTGTTGCGGTGGGTGAAACACGAAAGCAATCATTTGCCTACCAGGCAGTGTGGATGAAACTCATGGAAGGGTTTGGAAAGAGAAGCCAGGGCGTGGAGAAGGCCTTGCTGGAACATCCCATCATCTCTGAGGTGCTGAAACCAGACCAGCAAAATGACATCTATGTCCAGTCGAAATGCAACTTTACAGATGTCATCAGCGAGCTCTTCAGAAAGCCTCAATGAATGTGAATGGTCCATCCCTCCTCACTTGCAGTTCTTCATGCTCTGCAGCTCCGATCTCGCATACATGTCTCAAGTCCTTCCCCTTGCAATGCCTCAGTCTTTGAACATGCACATGGGAAATATTCTCTCTGTTGGCATCTGGATACATGGCAGGTTCTCATCTTTGAATCACCCCACCAATAACCTCGTGGAGCATTGCCCCCATTGCATGCTCAGTTGGACACACATCCCATTTGCTGATTGCAACACATGTGGCATCTACCAGCCACTATTGCTCACCATCATTCTGTGCAAAAGTGAGTGCAGCCTTGGTGCGCTGGGAGAAGAGGTCCTGTCTGATTTAGAATTTGTCTGCCATGATGGGCATGGGATCCACTACTCCCAACATGTTCTCAACCAACAGTAGCTGAAGGTTTGTGAACAATCAGGTACTTTTTTCCACCAGGTTACCCAGCTTCTCCAACCCAAGTCCAAGCCAATTGATCCTATCTACCCAATTGACATGCCTGACTTCATCAAGTTGACTCCAGACATGGAACACCTCTACATCCATCCAAAGATCTGATTTCTGTGGAGGCCTTCCTCTGCCCAAGCCAGGCCCACCCCCCACTCTCAAATGCTTGTGACCAATTCTCAAACTGCATCAATCTCTGTTGTCCTTGTGTATCAGTGTGCTTATTTCCTCACTCCCTCCATCATTTGTCATGCTTGTCAAATGCCCTTGTTGTCCTACATCAAATGTACAAGCTAAGAAATTGGCTTGTGACACAGTTTCTGTCTACACAATGGCAACAGTATAGTGCAGAGTCTGCAGGTCAGCTTGGTAGACATGGTATGTGCACATACCTTTTTGTCAAGGTCAGTGGCTAAGCATTCTGCAGGAGAAGAATGGTATCCATGACCCACTCAAACAACTGGCAGGCATGAGCCTAGCAGAGACAGACCAAGCAGCAGCCGTGATCATATGGAGAAAGTATACCCTAGGCACGGAGCTGTCAACTGCAAAAGATCTGTAGATGCCACCTTCAGCCTCAGCACTGTTTGGTGTTAGCAGAAATAGTGTCGGAGTAAGCTGGCAAAATTCTCAAACAACAGGGCACCACTTCATCCAAGGTGACAGGGCTGGCTGATTGAGGGACAGTCAGCATCTCAATAGGGTTGACTATGAAGAGTGGAAACAGCTTGAGGCTATGCATGGCACCAGTCATGTACCAGTTCTAATATCCCCCATATGGCAAAAACCAGGAGACCAACCAGATGGCAAATTCCATCTGTTCCTGTCTGTTAGGGCAACACAGGCTGACTAAGTCTGCTCACCTAAGAGTGCCAAGAGTCTAAGCAGGCAACAAGGAAGTGGAGTAGACCTGATGACTAAGACCTATCTACAGTATAGGTATCTGTGGATGATCCTAAGAGACCAAGTCTGAAGAGACAGTCCCGGGCAGAGTAGGCCTTATATTTATACCTCTGTGGTGGAACCTGCTAGAACATCTTGCTTACTCAGCCTAGTCAGGTGATCAGGTCATATGACCAAGGATGAGGTCATATGAGGTCATGCACAGCCATGCACAGCAGGTCACCTGACCATCCAATCCTTCCAGCAGGTTCCAGCACATGCCAAGGTATACCAGCTACTTCCATGTCATAAAGGCTTAGTCATGTCTCTTGACCAAGCAATGAGCTGGTGCCCTGACATCACCCCCCCTTCTAGACATGCTGTCCCAGCATGTTGATACTCCTTCTTCTGCTTTTCCCTTCTTCTTTCCAGATGTCCAATCAAAGAGAACCCTTTTAGGTGGTATAGTATAGTTGATGAGTGGTTGGAAGTGAAGCCTATCAAAGGTGATGGCTGAAATCTTTCTGGGAGCAGAGGGTAAGCCTATGAAATCTGCAATAGCTTTT